GGAAAGAGACAACATTCCTACTCCATAACGGCTGCAGTTAGGGATAAAGTCCCTTTGTCTCCCAGAAACGCTGGATTTAACACAGCTAATCAACTTCAGAGCTTTTCACACTCATGTTACCTCCACTTCCCTTATTATCCCAAGCTTTGTATTCACCCACATCCCAGTCTGCATACATCTATCTTAGAATGTGACCATCTGTAAGGGATTGGGACTATGGAAACTTAACCCAGTTGCCTCACTGTCCCACACCAGCCTACAAGTGCATTCCTTCAGCAAATTATACTGTTAGTAAATGGGTTTTATAAAAAGGATGAGGAGCCTAATTACTCACCTAAGAAACCTGCGCCTTCTTCCTACTGACATATTGCTGCATATTCCCTCCATTAAGGAAAAGTGCCAAAGGCCACCCTGACTTACTGAACACACAGGTGACAGCAGCACTGACCACTGTGCTCTCCTCTGTGGAGAACCAGCCTACGGCAGATCTGCTGTTACCTCAGGTCTACCACTTCCTTACCCAAGCTCCTTCCTCTGCTACACGAGCTGTCTCCCAAGAGGTGCTGGGCTCTTCTTCATTAACGCTTCTCCAAAGATTGACCCTCAAGGAGAACCTCGCTCTCTGCTGTCTGTGTATCGCTTCCACCAAACTAGTTTAGCTGCAGCAGCCTCTGAACAAGAGAGCTCGCAGCATCAATAACAGCAAGCAACTGACTCAAAATTATTTTGCCTCACTACCCCTGGCTCCATAAGGCAATAAGAAAGTAAATTAAAAAGATGTGCATGAAACATTTTGCAAATAATTATAAACCTAACCAAATTCAGAGATAAGCTGCAGGTCTGAACCTTCAAAACTTGGGACTAATTTTGAAGAGCGTGTATTTTTGCATTGAGATAAGAACCTAATGCAGCAGGGGAGCACTATTTAGAAACACAGTGAGCATACCAATATCGGCAAACTGACACCACTGCGTCCTTGTATTGATCCTATTGCTGCATCCAGCTAAGCTTGCTGGGATCAGCACTAATGATCTCACTGTTCTTAATCACGGAGCTGGAAACAAAGTACAGCCAAACGGAAAGGTTTGTTTCTCCCTTTCAAAAAAAAAACTCATTTTTTTTAATTAAAAAAGGGGTATTATACTTTACACGATTAAGAGGTATTATACTTTACAAAACCTGCCCTGATCCCCCCCCCCCTTCCTAAATTAGGGCTTTGCATCTCACAGCACTCTAAAATGCTGTTAAATATTCTCTTGCTCTGTTTTCAGCAAACATGAGGTATTTTGCTATCTTCATCTAGCCTAGTTATATTTTACAATGAAACCAGTAACTTTTAAAATCAATTATTTAAGATTGTCCAATTGTATCCTACTTACAAGGGAAGAAAAACAAAAGCAAACTGAACAGCAAATGACTACTAGCTATAAAAATGCTTTTTAGTATGTTCAGCTCCCCCAAACATGAGACTGATTTATGACAGAAACAAGATATTCTTTCAAGCTGTCAAAACGATAAAATGAAGAGATACTGAGTGGAAAACACTGGACTGCCACAGGCTAAACCGAGTAGTAAACAGCACAGAATTCCTTCGTCCTTTGGTCTGAGGAAAGCAAACATGCCCACCTTCTTGCCTTCTCCATATATAAGGGGAAACTTCAAGTCATCTTCCTCAATGGTTTTGTATGCCCTGTGGGGGGAGGACAAACAACATTTACAAAGCTTGCACTCAATTAGTGACCCAGTGCCCTGAAACAAGCCGCTGTGATTTAAAAAAAAACCCAAAACAAAACAACAAAACCAAACCAAAACCAAACCAAATCATTATTTTTCCTAGGGACTGTCTTTGAAACAAGATGTAAATATATTTTTCTGTAGAAAGATTTTCCCTGAAGAATTATCCTTTTCACCAAAAGGAACAGTGAACACAAGGAAATATCTAACATGCCAAGCTGCTCCTATTGCTTGCAAGAAAAAAAAAAAGGTGGACTGGAGTAACATCCTAATTGGGTAAGATATCTTTGGCTATGGCAGCAGCAGCTACACCGTAATCCAGTGTCATAAAAAAACCCAAACTCACCAAGAAGCTAACCAATGACTAGATTCACACTGTTAACATGAAATGGTGAGCAACATCAGGACGTGTGAAACAGCTCTCCATTTCTGTTCTCACCTTTCAGGACCACTTAAACCAAGACAAGCTTCATGTGCTGAAGAGTCTTAGAAGGATATTTAGTGCTCATTTGACCTTGACTGCAACAGTCAAGGTTGTCAGAGATTTCACGTTTTGAAGCAGCTTTCCCGTGGCTAAGAGACAAGAGCAATAAATGCTGATGCTCTGATTCTGTTTACCACATGCCTGCACACTCTACCTTTTACATGTCCAGCTGCTGACACTGATGAGTTGAGAAGGTGAGCAATTTCGCCAGTGAGAATTTAAAAAAAAAAAAAAAAGACATCTGTCTTTCTCATAAGCTACAGAGTCCTGTGGTTTGTGTAACATGCCGGAGTCAGGCTGCTGGGGAGCCTCTTTGATTAAAGTCCGTCGCCCCAAAGGGACACGCTTCCCCTCATACCGCAAAATTGCCCCTCACCAGTCCTTCCCTCCTGGCCCACTCCTGCCCAAAGCCCTCAGGGTGATACTGAAATCATCCCCTGAGCATGTGAGTCAGCGCTCCCCACTGAAGTGGAAGGGAGAAGTGGGAGAAGGGAAGGCGCCACAGCAGGTCCCCTGCCAGCCACCGCCAGCCCCTGCTTGCAGGGCTCTCCAGCCTGGCTGGCTGCTTGAGCTCTGAGGAGTCGCGTTCAATCAGGTTTAACCAATGTTAAAGCTGTGACACAAACCAGCAGGAAATTAAAAATTAAGGATGAAAGCCTATATTGTAATCAAACTGCCCTTTGCTTCACCAAAACATGGCATAGACCTGGGATCAAGAAATGGCGTTGTATTACATAGCTATGCAAGCTGCATCTCCTAGGCAAGCCTCAGACTTGAAGAAAGGAGCACAGACATTTAAGCCTCACCTTTACATTTCCCAAGTAATCACAGGCAGGGGCCGTATTACAGTTTGGGGGTGAGGGAAGGGGGAAGAAAAAAGGAAAAGCAAACAAAAGGCAAAGAAGAACCAGTAGTGGAGGACTCCGCTCCTGTACTACTCTATTGGGTTTGTGTGGCAAGGTTTTGGTAGCGGGGAGGACATGGGGGTGGCTTCTGTGAGAAGCTGCCAGAAGCTTCCCCCATGTCCGACACAGCCAATGCCAGCCGGCTCCAACACGGACCCACAGCTGGCCAACCCCACGTAAAGCCCCCGTGAAAAAAAAAATTAAAAAAAAAAAAAAGGGGGGGAGGGGAGAGAAAAAAAAGCTGCAGCTTTGCAGCAAGAGAGAGGAGTGAGAAGATGTGAGAGAAACCACCCTGCAGACACCAAGGTCAGGGAAGAAGGAGGGGGAGGAGGTGCTCCAGGTGCCGGAACAGAGATTTCCCCACCACTTGTGGTGCAGACCATGGTGAGGCAGGCTGTCCCCCTGCAGCCCATGGAGGTCCATGGTGGAGCAGATGACCACCTGTAGCCTGTGGAGGACCCTACACTGGAGCAGGTGGATGGAAAGGAATTAAGCCTGGGAAGGAGGGAGGGGTGCGGGAGGTGTTTTAAGATTTGGTTTTATTTCTCATTATCCTCTTGTCTGATTGGTAAGAAATTAAAATTCATTTTTTTCCCCTAAGTTTTTTTCCCTGTTTTGCCCGTGCCAGTAACTGGTGAGTGATCTCTCTCTGTCCTTACCTCCACTCATGAGCCTTTTGTTATATTTTTCTCCCCCTTGTCCAGTTGAGGAGGGGGAGTGATAGAGTGGGCTTTGCTGGGTATCTGGCATCCAGCCATGGTCAACCCACCACAACTACAAAACATTACTAGGTGTGAAATCCCAAAACAGAACCAAGTGAGGTTTGCAAGACACGGTGGGTGCTTCATGGTAGACCACATAGTCAAGAACATTGTGAGTATATAACCATGATACCTGATAATCTTTATAAGAGACAACATAGACAAGGCATTTAAATGGCATTTTGTATTGCGGATGGCAAACAGATTAGCTCTTAAACGAAACAAAAAGGCACAGATCACTACAAGTAGATGTTTAAATCCTGGAATAGCATTTTGTTGGGAAGGATGAGTCAGTCATGGACTTTGCTCTTTTTCCTTCCTTTATTTCCAACAGGGAATAGCTAATGTCTCTGCCTCACTCACCAACCTGGATATCCTGGTTTGAATGTGGAGGAAGAATTTTACCATCCCTGACTACTCATGAACGTTTTCCAAAGCTTCCAGCTGGACCTACAGTGCAGAGAGCCCTGGAAAAACCTCCTTGAGGAGGAGTCTGAAGTCTTTTCTGTTCCTTGCATGGAGCCAGTTGTGCTCTGACACTGAGAAAAAGGGTATCAGCTGAGTCAGTATCAGGCACGAGAGTCAAATGACTAATCAAACCACGAGCCCAACAAGGCAACCATTCCTACTGGATTTTCAGGTTTTTGTGTGTATTTGTTACAAATAGCAAACAAGCCTAAGTTGATGTGACTTAACTATTTGCAACCCTCTTTTTGAAGGAACAACCAAACCTATTCTTCACCCACAAGCTACAGTATCTGCAAGAAAACTATAAATACTTAAGACTGAAGCCCCCACTTTACACTGTCCTGTAAGTAGTCAAAACAGGGACCGAGTTTTCTTTCCCCCTTTCCTCCTTATATTTTGCATAGCACCTCACACAGACTGCGCATTAGGAAGAAGAAATAAAAAGAAGGGGTCAAAAAGGCATCATTTAAGCTGGTGTCCTTCAAAAGAATGGTCATCACTGCCAAATCCAGCATCTTTTATGGAACCACCATAAGGACCATCATCCCTAGGGTCTTCAACTGTTACACAGCGGTGCAAGTTTGCTGGAAGAAGCCGTGTTGCAAGGCTGAAGCTAACTTGTTTCATCAGCAGATTAGGAAGGGCAGCTGGCTATCCTATGATCTCCTGAAGCTATGCGACCAAGTGAGGGAGGCTCAGAGGGCTACAGTGGTTTGTTTTGTGGTTTCTCACAGCAAATCACCTCTTGGGCTCAGAACTTGGGTATCAAGACTCAACTCAAAGAAGCTTTTTTTGTTGATGTTTCTATTGCCTGAAAATTTATCAGCACTTGAAAAACAATGCTCAGAACTGCAACCGCAGCAGTGGAGGTGGCACAGACACACTGAAAAGCAACCCGAGACACTCTAGAAAAGCACCTATGTCCTGCATTACTAGTGAAATAGAATTAATAAAATATGAGCGTGTGGTTTGCTGCAAGAGAAGGACAAAGGACAGTTTTTCAGCTAGCAGCTAGGCAACTGCACTGGGGAGAAGGAAGGAAGGAAGCTATGAAGTTCATTTTGATTTATGCCCTGTGAAACCTCCTGTACTTCATGCATGTGTTTATTTCACACAGACTACAACCTTCTGGACTATTTCACTTGATTTTATGTAATAAAGTTGCATTTATACCTTCCTGCGCTGTTTAGAGCATGCTGTATGTAAGGATATAATATGGCAGTAGGTACATCAAACAGACATATGGAGAACCTGAGGGGGTTGTTTGGTTTTTTTAGTACCAACATGACCTTATTCAGCCTTCTACATAATTCAGCCTAGCTCACTGTTTTAACAAAGACACACAGGGTTGCAACCCTCCACTCTCCCTGTCTTCCTTGTCCACAACCCAGGAGGTTTAGGTGGCCACCAGGGCATGACAGAACAGGTTATAAAGCCAAGCCTATGCTATTGCTTGCTGCTCTGAATGAGCCTAAACCCTGTCAATTGCTTCTGCCACGTAAACCTCTATTTTTTCCAAATGGAAAAACAGGGGGGCAGAGGGGGAGTAGAACAGGCGAGCTTGTGCCCAGCTAGATCTAGCTGCATTTTTTTCAGTTAACTTCGTTTCTTCTTTTCATTTCAAAAGAATTATGAAATGCTATTGCTGTCCAAAAATACTGAACTGGGGCTTGACATATGTACCACCCACAATGTTACATTTGGACTCAGGATCAACATTTTGGAAAACTGGGCCAAATCGCACCGGGAGCCAAAAGAGATGTCAGAACGAAAGAACTAGGACTGACATGATGTTACTCATATGCTAACTGGAATCTGCTCTAAATACATGGTGAAAAAAATCACCAGAAGCTGCTAAATGCACAAGACAATCTACGGAAGAAGTTTCCTACAGTGCTGAGGTCATTAGCTGTGCTTTAGGCACTCTTTAAATAAGATTATCAAAGTTACCCGCATATTGTTGGGTCAGAACTTGAAAAACTGGTCAGCTCCCAAATACAGATTTCAGAGACAAAATCCTAGATAATTTCTCATGTTATGCATTCTCTTGCCATATAATTTATTCTTAAAATTAGCCTTCTGAAAGCACATATGAATTAATATAAGAGCCAAAGTTATTGATGACCAAAAAAAACCCCAAACCACCCCACATTATATTTTCTTTTACAGGAAACTGTGTAAGGTTATTGGTCATGAAAAGCATTGCACTGGCATCCCCAGGCACAACAGATGGTGGCAAAAACACAATCTACCCTGACCTGGAAGGCTCAGTTCTGTGAACGACAGGAGGATCCAGACTCTGTGCTCTGCTTTTCCACAGCATTTGGCTTTAGAAAGG